ACAGGAGATGGCAGGGTGCTGGGCAGGGCTGGGGAGAGACAGGTAGCAGCTGCAGCTATGGCTCCAACACCAGGTAGAGCCTGAAGGCCAAGCCACAACAGCTGCCTGCCCCTTTCCACGCTCAATTCTAAGACAAGCCCCCTGCCCCCCCTTTAAATAAGGGGAAAATTCTGGTCTTAAAATTGAGTAAATACACTACTTAATTTTTCCTTGTATAACATTACAATGTTGTTGTACATGCATTCCTACAATAATAAACATAAATTTGCTTTAAAATGATGCGAGAGTACCTGTAGTATTGGAATGATAGGATAAAGAGCCTCAATAAAATTGTTCCAGGTCATTGCTGTCATCATTAATTGCCCCTGTAACAGATACATCAGAATGGCCTTGGCAGCAGAGTTCACCTGTTCCACAACAAAGGATTAAATAACATAACAGAAGGAAGTGGTTAAGTCAATTTGTCAATCCTACAGCAGGCAATTTCCTACAGAATATTTCCAATTAGTCAACTTATGCATATAGGGAAAAGAAGGGAAATATTCTTCCTAGAATGATTCCTCTGCAAATTGTTGATGGGCTACTACAGCTGGTATTACTTTCTACTCTAATTCTTGACATGCAATCCTTTTACAACATGGGTATTCTGATTTCTATGACAAAAGACATTCTATTTATAGAAAAAAAGTTCAGTGGTGTAAACAGTAAAAATGCATCATCAATCCTGCCATACAGAAATTTGTTAAATCCCACAATCACTGAAGTTTTGCTGAATCACTTTGTCATCATAACTCTTCACTTCTGTTCATATTTTTAATAAATACTCATGAATCTTTCCATATGTTGCAAGCAGTGCTCAAGTAGAAGAAATGAGTCATTACATAATATCAGACACCTGCTAACCTCTTCTCTTTTTCTATGGTCTCTGTCTTTAGAAAACAAAATCTTTTCTTCTCTTCATACCTGACTAATTTTCAGGAACATTCCAACATCTCTAAGACATTTTTTTGCAAGGAAAAAAAAAATTATAAAGTGGCTACATGAACACTAGGCTTTCTTCTGGAAACCTGTTAAAACTATTGTTACCAAAACTGGCAAATTGTTTGTGTTTCTCAAAATAGCTAACAGATCAGATTGTCATATTCCTCAAGAGCTATATTGTTTTAAAAGATTTATGATCCTTAGGCTATGTTTGCTTTTATAGTACCAACAAGAAGAAACACCAATTCTGGAAGCTCTGCCTTTAAAAAAGAAACATTCATTAAGCATTTACAGACTGCTCAAATATTGCATATGTTGCAAAAGCTTCTCACCATTCCCTCTGCAAGAAAAAGCTACCCACAATGGATAGCCACTACTCATTAATCTATTTTTCACAGACTAAGAAATCTTAAATCCCCCCTGGGGATGCTGGGTTCTCCTGTTGATTCATCTACACCAGGGACTGGTAACCTTTAAGAATGGCAGGCTGCTGCTTGGGTGCCGACCCACTCCACAGCATCCCAGCCCTGCTTGCTCTGCACTAAGGGCTGTTCTTGTGCCCCCACTACTGCAGCCTCCATGTACCATCACTAGCAAATGCCACTGATTTCCATTATCAATGGCAACGGGGAGCCCCAAATTCAGCAGTAAGGGTAAGCTCAGGCTGCAGTAGCAGGACAAGAGAACAGCCCTCAGGAGAGAGTAGGGAGGGCAGAGAAGTATCAGCACAGTGTAAAAGAACAATGTGTGTAAATGAATTGTTTTGCGCCTGTTTTGATCTGGGTCAAACTGCAACAGCCTTAATAGCACAAACATCAGCAGTCATTTGGCAAGTTCCACAGATTTCAACATTAAAGGAATCACTTAATATGATTTAAGTATGCCTGCTAATTCATGAGGAAACAGTCTGCTCTCAGCTTTTTCCACCTATTTAATGCTGGTTACTTCATAAGGCAGAGGCAACCTTCAACTCTGCTTTGCTATTCACACCTGATTATGGCTCATTACATTATCACTCTCAGTGCCATTTCTCCAACAGCAGACTTTAATTGGAAAGGACCTAGCCAGTTTCAAAGCTAACAGCTTAGCACTGACAGGAGCTGAGAATAACTAGAAAATTAACCCCCAATGTTAAACGTTAGTATTTTACATGAACTCTCTCCAATTCAACCAGCCAGCTCTATGAAATGGAACTTGGCTTGGCTCATCATGCCTTTTTATAACATAGAAGAGAACTGCCCTGAGCTTTTGAACTGCTGTAAAGCCTTGCAAAAATCAAGCAAGGAAAAAGAAACCCCGTGTGCTGCCTCTATGCTAATGGACTAAAATTGACTAGAAAAACTTTAACAGTTAACTCTCAGAAAAATTAGCCATCAGTGAATTTTCTGCTACATATTGCCTACTACATACAGCTTAAACTCGTGGAACCCAACCTTTTTCCCCCTTGGGCTGGATGGACAGCGCTCAATCCGTCTGTGGGATGGATGTAGCTGGTGCGCCCAATCTAGCACACAGGGCAATGATATGTGGCCCAATCTGGCTGCACGGAGGTGGGAAGAAGGGGGCATGACCTGCCCCAGATTGAGCCATGTAAGGGTAGGTAGGGGGTGTGGCCCACCCTGATCCCTATGCATGGCGTGGGAGGGAAGGCCACCAAATGCCCCAACCTATGGCAGATTGGATGCCATGGCTCCATGAGCCCTGTGCCATGCTGGGCCTGCAGGCTGCAGGTTAGACTGCAAAACCAACATTTGAGAAGAATATAAGGTTTGGGCCTTATTTGACTGCATTTATTTTGTTTACAGGAGGCTGGGAATGCCACCTGTTTAAAGGCAAATAAGGAAGAACATACACAAATTCCCAAAATAAGGCCAATATTTTTTCCCCGTGTAGTCCAGCACAATTTAAATTACATTTGGAAGCATGATTCAATTGTCAACTGATTTTCATTTCATTAAGCAAAGAAACCTGGAAGCAACTAAACTAAAACAACAAACAAACAAAAATAAAATATTAAAGAAAACTCCATAAAATGTATGCATTTAAGAATTTTTTTTTTTACTTAAGACTTGTATAGATATTAACCCTTGATTAATAATATTTTCTAAAAATGTAAAGAAAGCTGTTCTATGTTGTTTGCATGTAGAGTATTTAGAGAACTACTGAAATAAGGCAGTACCAACTAACATCTGTTGTAAAGTAGGTACAGATAGACTGATTTTAGTTGCTTAAATTCAGGTATACACACTGGAAAAAGTTATAAACTAGGAATAGAGAGATATATTAACAATTTTTTCTTCAAAAGCTTAAACATGGAGTTTAACTATAATCCCATGTATGTTACCAGAACTAGTCTCATGTTTAAATTTTGGTAAACTCGATGAACAATTGTATTATTTGACAAAACTTTTAATATAATTCATTTAGAAGAATTTATCTTAAGCACAGGAATGAAAATAATAGTCCCAATTTATTAAAAATGGTAATAAGAGATCCTGCACGTATCATCCTATTCGATGTGCATTCTAGCCAAAATATTTGGGAGATGCTTACTCTCTCTCATTTACAAACATGGATTTCTGAAAATAACATTCAGGAAGAAGATCAGGCCAGTTTCAGAGAAAATTATTCTTGCACAGACCATTGCTTACAGTTGCATCACTTTTACAACCCTTTTGTACGGGTTTTGTAACCCTTTCGCAATAGGATTGGAAGAAGGGCAGTACTGGCAGCACTAAGGGTCTATAAACCTAATGTAAAGGTCACTTTATTGTGACCCCAAGGTCACAAAAATAGAAAAAAAAATTCTAATTACTTTAAGGCAGCTTTTATCTCTTCCAAATTCTATGACAGGGTTGCTTACCATGAGCACTTCTGCTAAATTAGGAACTCTAAATTATTGAATAAAAATTATAAACTGTACCCTTATCAGGAGGGACCACTGGAATTCGAGCCAGAAGTGAAAGGAGCAAGCAGTGGGGCCAACAGGGCCCCTCCGCCAGTCAGTAGTGGGAGCACACGCAGGGGAAACTCTAAGATTAAAGGAACCGCTGCAAAGCTCACTTCTGGTATGAATTCCAGTGGCCCCTACCTATCAGATGCCCCAAGAGCTGCATTTTAGAAGCCTCTCCTCTTCCAAATAAACTTTAAAATAAATAACATTTGTATTTTCCTCCAGACAAATGTCCCAGGAGAGTTGCTAACAGTGATTGACTCTATATGAGCCCTATATTTAAACAAGGTATAAATTAACACATTAAAGATGCCAGTATACAGATTACTGAGGCATTGAGATGTCTTCAAACTTTAGCTTTGTTGAGATTAATAGAGTACCCATTTGACTTAGAAACCTAACTGAAATACAAAACTGTAAACAGGAGACCATTGCTAGGCTACAATTCACTCAAATGATGTGCAGTCATTATGGGCAGTTGGTATTGGACCCCATATACACACAAGACGTGATTTTCTGGGAAGAATTAGATAGATGATTTAAGTCGCTATTCATGGTCTTACTCATTCTTTAAAGAAATAACAAGAAAATGGATCTCTCCATTTGTGGAAAATTTTAAATACTAGGCTACCGAGGAAAAAAGCTGGCTCCTCTCTAAGAATTTACACCCTGTCCTATACTCTCCAGGTGTATTTGTATTACTTGCATAAAAAATAAAGGTCCAAAATCAAATAAAATTCCTTGTTTTTTTTATTGTTTTATTTTGTTTATTCTACTATTATAATATTGTTTCATGTTATCTGTTTTTGCATCATCATATCGTATGTTCTGTTTTAATTTTGTTTAAACTGTGTAAACTTTAAATATGTAATCTTATTACAGGTTTTTCCCAATAACTACCAATTACATATAATTTTATAGACAATTTTACTGTATTGTTTTAACGAAAACTGTAAATAAACTACTACTACCTTGTACTGACAACATGTTTTTTAGACCCAAAACAAAATTTCAAGATGTTCATGATTTTTTTGTTTAAGTTTCCCTGTATTCCTAATGGATGAGTCCATTAATCCATTCACTGAACTTTACTGACACTTCCACTACATCCTTTTTTATAAGGACACAATATTATAATGTCAATGTGCAGTACCTGTAATGCTAAGGTTATTTTGTAAAGTAATTGGGTAGTCTGTTTTAAAAAAAACAGAGAAATCTGATTTGGCATCTTCCATAAAAGGTCAACACATCAAACTTGTACCTAATAATTTTATCCTTATTACCTATCATCACCTTTTCATGCTACTGAGGTGAATCTTCAAATATTTTCAATCTTATCATGCACACAGTCTTTCTGCAGGTAAAAATTAACGTGGATGTGCAGTTTTAGGTCTTACTTTTCCAGGTGTACATACATTTAGCAGTTTTAATAGAACCATTAAAGAAAAAGTGAGAGATGAAATAGGAGTAAAACCACTACTGAGAATAGTGAAATAGATTATTTGTCTATATGTAAATGTCAACCCTTTATAAGATTTAAAAACCGTACCTCATTTTTAGACTCCTGAAGTCCAAATGTAGAAATTTCATATAAAACTTTTGGATGAAGAAGAAAATGCACTCCATGGCAAATAGATGAAACGGGTTTAGCGACATTATGGATACCTAAACACTCCTTCATCAAAAACAACAAGTGCTTAATTTCAAAATTTAATAATATCTCCATTTCTATACCTTGTTTTCTAGATAGTTTTTCATTTTATGATTTTCTTGGAAAAACAATTGAGCTGCTATGCCAAAAAGGCCACATTACTATTCAAAGTGTCAAAAGAACTATAGTTCTCTCATCAAAAGTGCATCTCAGCACCGCATAATAAACATTCCAAAGCTATTGAATAAATATTAGTGCTACTGCAGCTTCATAAATTTATATGACAGTGCAAACATTTTTCTATTCTTGACAGGATGTCATCATCTTTACACCACAATTAGGTATTTTAGTTCTCACATCTGGTTATTAGGCATTCTCTGTGCCCTTAGGAGGCACACAATCCTGAAAGTTATACATAAACCAAGGTGCCCCTTTTACTAATGCCATTTTCACAGAGAATGTTAAGCAGAAGCTATGCACTTAATCCTTTAGTGCCTCTTTAAAATGATTATTTAATCTAAAATTAGGCATTTTTATTAAAAAAGTTGAAATGAATCAAAAAAACTGTATGCACATGTATGTACATTGAGTGCATGTGTGCATTGCATATGTGTATGCATGTATCACTAATTAAAATATAAAAATGATTAAAGTATAAATCAACCAGAAGAAAAATTGTAATCCTTTTTTAAAAATTAGAAATGAGTTATGTACTCTGGAAGACCAGGAAATCTGAGAATTAGTAAAATTATGACATCACAAACAGAAGTAAAAGCGAAATATGAGTAACCAACAATATTCAAACTGCTTACAAGTGCTGGTATTATATTTGAGATCATCTATTTAATGCCAATTTTTGTAAGGCATCACCAAATGTAGGATAATTCAAATTAGTAGTGTGAATATTATTTTTCTCTAAATGTAACAACAGTTAGAATCTTAGTGAAGAACTACAGCATTCTAGGTGCTGTACAAACCAAGAACAGTGATGATTCCTGAAGCCTGGTGGTATTTACCACTAAATGAACAAAGTCTAGCCAACTCCCAAGTAAAATAAAGTTTGGTTTTAACTGCTGGCCTTGAAACTCGGCCTGTATTTTATTAAATGAATAAACAGCAGTAATAAAAGATACTGAGGTTAAATTATTCATTCAGGCTATAAACAGATATCACGTTTGTCCCAAGACAATCTGTGTTGTGCTGGAACCCTACAGATATGCAAGGCTGCTGTTCTACTTCATGGCCTGTCAAAGTATGTGGGATAAAAATGTGCTACCACCTTTTCCCCCAGGATATCATGGTGCTGTCTGTAAGGTTATTACAGCCAGTATTAACAAGCTGTCCAGGATGCGTGCTCTTGCAGGCCACCTACTGGTAGAGGAGCAGCAATAAAACTTGGAAGAGGGACACAAATGTGTAATGGACTCTACTGATCCTGTTGTGATCCAGGTAAAATCCTGGAACAATCAGGACCATGTCAAATGCAACATTTATTTATAGCTTCAGGGCCATAAACAACAGTAAATGGCTTATGTAAAATTGCATAAAAGTGTAAAGGATTACAAATTAAAAACATTTAAGAAAAACTTGCATGTCTTCTTTTTTTAGTTAATTTATTTCTGAAGAGTTAACTTCAACAGATATAAAAAGGAAAGAGTATTCCCACCACCTTCCCCAAAGTGAATACAGAAGACCTTAAAAACACAGTGAGCAGATCAGGATAATACAGTTGCCATTTTTAGACGGTATATTTCAGGACTGCACTGCATCTTACAACTGCACTGTAAGCTTACGCTTATATCCCTCCTACCAACTGATGTACAAAATGAAGTACAGTAATGAACAGTAATAAGGTAAGAAGAAGAAAAAAGGAGACTGGAGTTTTAAAATTTTGTTCTCTTTTGGGGTAAAAACAATAGACTCAAAAAAAGGTTAACTTTTGTGTCATTCCTTCTGAATCTGTATAAGTCGAAGTAGTGAAAAAGTGGTGTAAATGCATTTTTGTCTTTCTTCTAAATCACACTAATTAATTAAAAGCTAAAAACAAGATTGTGAACATTTTTGTCCTTTATTAAAATTGTCAGTTAGAATTTTTTTTAAATAAAAGAAGTGAAAAATCTCTGAAAAGAGCTGGTAACTCAAATGGCATCACATGAGAAGGAAGTAAAACTGGCAAGAAACAAAAGGCTGAAAAAAATCTAACCTCAGTACCCAAGCCAAATGGAATATGTAAACTTATTTGTAAAGCAAAAATAATTTACACTGAAAAAGATTACATTTAAAGTTGTTTAACATAAATAATTAAAAAATAATAGACTAGGAGATGCCAAAGGTCCTTCAAAACAAGCTAAATGTATCATTTCAATTTATCAATCCATTTGTATCTCAGATTCTAGAACATTACCACCACTTAAAATTAAAATTTATGGAGCACAATTGTAATCACTTGAACTTCATGATGTTACAAACAAAACAGTAGACTTCAAATGCCATCTAGTACTACAAAATAAACAACAGACTAGAAAGAGTAAAATGTAAAATCATCAAACAATACATATTTTCTTCAAAAGAAACATTACAAAACCAATTTCTTTCTAACCTTAACAGTTTCCAGAGAGCACCGATAAGCTTCATATTTTATATTTGGCAGAGGATGAGACAACAAATGGAGGAGCACCTTCTGGCTCTCAGTCTTCAGCCGTGGACTAGCCTGGGCAGACTTCCAGCTGTAAGTGGAAACAGTTAAATGCCCAAGATAAATTAGCTACTATAGAGCTGTTGTACTATATCAATAAAGATGTTTATATTACAGAATAAGTTATAGAGGAGTTATATAAAATGTCTCACAATATCAAGTTTATCACCATTATTTTGCTCAATATTCTTTATAAAATACTTATGGTAGTAATCCTGAATAATAAATTATTTTAATTCACTCATACAGTGAATCAGATCATTTTGTATTTCTCCCCCAACACTGTAAAGTTGCAATGTGTAGTACCATATTTACTCATATACCACACACCTTTCTACCAAAAAATTAGCCTTCCCCCAAAAAGTGTGCATCTTATTTGGGGGCATGTGACATGCAAGAAGATATAGTATTGTTCACAGTTGTGTACGTGACAAATTTTACTTTCAAAATAGATAGGTGTCTTATATCAAATTGTATAACCAAAACTACTAGTCAGTACCTTTATAGATTGATGTTTTTATAGTTCAAATAGGCATTTTTAAGAGATACAAAGTTGATACACGAGCAAAAAAAACTATTAGAAAGCATACTTAAAATATCATAGTCTAATCTCACTGTTACAATAGAGACAGAGAAGAAAAGCATAACTTTTGATTGTTTAGTACGAACAGTGGTCATTAGTAGCAATTAAAGACTTAGTGGGCATAATTAATGGGAGGAAACAGAAGAGTAGACTTCACATTTCTGGACACAGAACATTACGAGAAACATCTCTCATCAGGCTATGAATTGTTTTATTCACTGCTTTTAAAGCTTGCTTACACTTTCAGAAAGCATTATTTTTCTAAGAAACTGCATGCATTAAAACTGAAAATTCCAAAACAGGAGAAAAAAATCTAAAATCTGAATTTTCAATCAAAAAATGCAATATTCTTTTTTTCCAGAAAAAGACTAAAAATATTATTTATCTACTCTAGATGTAACAAAATGAATAAGTTATTTGATGTATTAGTTCCCACACTCAAATTTACAACTTTCTTTTTATGGATATTTTCTTTTATGATATGACTGAATAAATTCATGATCAGAACAAGACCAAAATTTGGATCACAAATAAATATCAAGCTTCCACACAATTTTACTCCTCCTTCTCCTGAAACAGTATAAGAAACACAATGCTTGTATAAAAGGAAAATATATTTCCCTTCTATATTAAGAGCAACAGTAATTTATTTACATATTAGAGCAAATATGAATGAATTCCTGAAGCAACGGAAAGTGTTGATGGTAAGAAAGACTACCAAGGGCCTGATCTGCCAATTCTATTAACTCAAAAAGATTCTTCTCCCCCTAAAAAAAGACAGAAAGAAAAAAGGAAAGTCAGTGCTAGTGTTATTAAAAAATAGTACAATTTTTTTATACATGTTGAGATGTGGACAATTTGGTGATATTTGGCTTAGCTCAGTTAAGGCTCAGTTAACTTTCCTTTGTAAAAACAAAAAAACCACAAAAACAAAACAAAACACTGTATCTCCTAAAATCCCATGAATAACAAGCAAAAGTTACTATTACATACATTTAAAACAAAAAAAATGATGGGTCAAATATATGTCTCACTTTTATGGACTGTTCCAACGAACAGCTGATTGCTTTTCAGGAGACACTAAGCCTTGACAAATACCATTAAATTTCAAAGAAAAAAAAAAATGTGTGCGCCCAACATGCCATGCCATTGGGACCACAAAGCATAAAATATATTCTTATACATCTCAAAAGTTCTTGTGCTCTTAATGTATTTAAGCAATTATTCTAAATAAAAATGCCACATGAAGATATAGATAGGTATATATCTTAAGATTTAAAACTTCACAAGCCTAGTTAATACTGCAAACTCATTTGTATTAAGTTAACTTTATGAATTGTATCAGAATTATATCTACATTTTTGTACATGTGGTGATATTGAATTTCATACCTCCTTATGGATATCCATCATAAAGTTACAAGCGCATTCAATTGAATAAACTGCTTCTGCAGCTTGCTTATAAATGCTGTAGTTCTCAGAATTCATCTGCTCCAGATAGGCTGCAACAGATTCATGAGTGTTTGGATATTCCAAAGAAAAGGGCATGTCCAGGGACAGAAGAAATAAAGCAGTCAGCAAGCTCTCTGGTAACACACTGTTGGCCTTGAAGGACGTTAAGGGAGAATTGTAAAAAAGAAAAAAAATATTGAAACATAGTACAAACATTGGCTACTGAATTCCACTTCTGAATTAAACTAGCATAATCCTCAGTACTGCTATTTAGATTTTTTTAAAGTAAAATTAGTAAAACAATATGCAAAATATGCAAAGAATACAAACTAAAGCAGATTCAAGTTGGTTTTGAATTTTTTACCTTAGAGTTTGAGCTGCCACAATGTGCAGAAATATACACACAATCCAGCCATGGGATGGTCAGTTACAACAATTCTAAGGTTGAACCACCAGATGGCAGACTATACACAGACCTCCAGTTATCCTTCTAGACCTTTGCCTGTCATGATTTTAAACTTTGTAAGTATTTCTACAAATCCTAAACTATGTAACACTGTGCCAGATACAACACATCACCAGATTCAAGAATGACTTAGGTAGCATTAAACGATTACTCAGCTAAAAATCAATCATCTGAAGTCTGATAACTATATCACTTAACTGCTGTTCACACAGAATTATAAAAAACCTAAAATCACACACACTTCTGCTACTGTACTGAGCACCAAAAGAATAGAAATGGAACCATAAGAAACTGAATTAATATGGCTACATTTTTTCCAAGAACTAGGGAGAAATCATATAATAGTAAAATATATGCTACTTAATGGCAAATCATTCAGTCACAGAAGTTTAGAGTTGGAAGAGACCTCATGAGATCATCGGGTGCAGTCCCCCTGCTCTAGGCAGGAAAGACTGCTGGGATCAAATAACCCCATATGCATGGAAGAATCCCTCCAAGTGTTAGGCTTCAGAATTTCTGGGAAAAATACCCCAGAAAAGTTAAGATGCAGAGCAAAGTGGTGAATTCCAATGTACAGCCATTAAAGAGAATTTTCCATGTTTTCTAAAACCTTCAGTTCCATAGACCGGGTGGAAGTAGGATCTGGAATCAAGGAAGGAATGGGGCAACAGCACACTTTGGGATCAAGCGAGGGATGAGGAAGAAGCATGAGTTGGGAAATCGAGTGTGGGGTGGGGAAGCAGTGAGGGTAAGGGGATGGGCAGCAGTATGTGATCCCCTGACCTGCACTGCTGCCCCAACACCCAACATGCTGCTGCCCCCATTCCCTGACCAGCACTGCTGCCTGATCCCACATGTGTGCTCTGCCACATCCTCTGACCTGAGCTGCTGACTGATCAGTAGCAAATGTGTAGGAGGGCATGTCATCAGCACAGGGCAGGGGATGTGGCAGCAGCACGTGTGGGGAAATCTAGCAGCTGCGCAGGTGAGGAATAAGACATCAGTGCACATGGGGAACAGGTGAATCAGGTGGGAGGAGCGATGGCAGGGGTGGCAAAGGGCAGAGGGAATAAGGGGATAGGCAGCAGAGATGCAGGCAATGGGCGGTGGGGGGAGGTGGGAAAAGAGTAAGGTGCATGGGAGAGGCAGCCTGTCCCCCAACCCCTGCAGTTGGGGATAAAATTTATTATGACCCTCCTAATAATTAGATTCTATAAAGGGAAAATTATAAATTTGTTATAATGCTCTTTTTATAGAATCTAATTGTTCTATAATTATTGGGGGCATGTCTTAAATTCAAAGTCATCTTGGATTTGGGTAAATATGGTATTAGATTACTATCTAAAACTTAGAAACTGCAAGACTGTGCAACACAACATACTGATTGCTTTTGCCTCTAGACCAATACAGCTACAACTTGGATACCTGACACATGGAAGATATCAAATTTTAGCTAGTTTTTTTTTTTTTTTTTTTTTTTTTAAGTGAAATATTCATAATTTTACAAGGAAGGAGCAAGTTTTACCACCTGAAACTTGAGACCCTGCTCTTGCCTTTGTGCAAGGTAATTTGCATTATCACAGAGCCCAGAGATACCTCACCACACAATAAATTCCTGTGCAGAAGAGCATTCCATCTTTTTACACTTGTGTGAAATATGAAACACCATAACCAGAAGGAAATATGACTTGCCACCAAACAACTTCTAGGTAAAAAGACTGTTCCACCTTTTCTCTGAACCTAATCTCCATAAAATGAACTGTTCCAAACAGGAGATTTTACCACACCTTCAGCTTTCCTATGAAATATGAACTTTCATTTCTACCCAGGAGAACTTTTACAATCTTTTTTTCTCCTATGCCTGAAGAAGGGTGCGTGCACCTGAAAGCTTGCAAATAAAGAAAAATTATTTTGCAAACATCTAGTTGGTCTAATAGAAGATATCACCTCTACCACAAGTTCCGATTCCTTTAACACAACTTAATACTACTTTGCATGCAGTACCCTACAATTAATAATTAAAATCACTGCAAAATGCATTGCCAAGGGCATCTCATATTCTAGCTGTCAAATAAAAGGTCTCCACTATTTTAATATGAACAATACGTGAAACAAAAATAACTATTTGAACAGAGTATAGCTTGCTAATAACAGGTAGAGGGCAGCATAGCCTTGCAAACCACTAAGCTCTTTGACTTTGAAAAAAAATATAGCAGTGATAAACTTATGTTTCTGTTTAAGTATCCTATTAAAACTCTTATCCAATTAATCAATCTAAGCATTTAAACCCTGTGTAAGTCAGGCACTTAATTAGGTCAATTCAAGTCTGTTTCCTGCATGACCCGATCTACTGAGCTAATATAATTCCAAGATACAGTACCTGGAAGTGACACATCTTTAATCACTGTACAGTAATGGCTTTAATCCTGATGCTAACAATACACTCTCATAAGAGAATACTTGCTATGTAATACCAATGTCCCTTCCTCGTGCACACTGGCCAGCAAATGCACTAGGAAGTTTTACTGCTTCAAGCCACATGCTTCTGCTTGGTGGGATTCAGGACAGGTCCCCTACTGCTTATTTTAAACTTGAACAAATGTTGCTCATGCAAATATGACCTGCCTAAGGCTTGAATGGAACATTCTATGCCTCCTTCTAGCTGACGATAAAGTTTTGATCTCATTCTCATAGGTAGGCTGGAAATATGACAGAGGATAAACAACACTGGATTTTGTCAAAAACAATATGGAATAAAGTATATTTAAAAACACCCATCTTTGCAGAAGAACAGATCCTGGCTTAAGACCCTTTGAAGCTTTAAAATCACAGCAGGTTAGGCAGAGTGCTGTTTAATTCTATGACCCTTAAGACCACCTGCAAGATTCACTAGCCTGTTTACCTTGCCAACTAGCTACTAGCACTGAACACAAACTAGTTAAGAGAACTAGTTCTTCAAACTTTCCTACTATTACAAAAGGACAAGAATTACTATTACTATCATCAGCATCAATACCATCATTATCATTATTGCTGCTGCTATTATAAACAACGCTATAATTAATGTTCCTCTTCACCTTTTCTACGGGGAGTAGGGTCTGTAATAATCGGACCGTGAAAAGTGAAATACTTATAAAAGCCATTCTGTGGTGCACCATCATCATCTCAGGTTGCTCTGAACTGACATTGCTTTTGTGGTAGGATATGGTTTCTCCAAGTGAATTGAAAACGTTAAGCAGCTTATCTTTCTGCAAATGAAAACAAAGTTACAAGAATGTCAGTGGAAAACATAATGAAAAAAATATCACACAGCATTATAGCATGATTTAAAAGAATAAAACTGAAATATTTGGGTAAATATTAAAAGACAAATATAGTTCATTTTACATAATAAAATACTGTAGTAGTATTTTGATTTTCTTTTAAATAAAAATACTATTAAAATTTCTGGAACTGTCCTCAACATTTCACAGGAAAGAATACTTTGAATTTGTTCCAGAATGTCTCTGGAACAAATTAGGAACCTTAGACAGAATCACTATCAAATGAAATCAGCTCTTTGGACACAAGAAAGGGAGCATGTAGAAAAGGAGGTTAGCAAAACACAGGTATATGATAGTCAGATATACATATAACTCCCCTTATTTTTGATTATTCACAACACTAGATTTAAAAAAATGATGGTCATTGTAAGTATGAAAGCTGAAGATAAATTCTGCAAAAGAGGTATGTAGAACAGCTAGCATGATATTGAATACAACTCGGTGCCCACGTTCTGGTAAGAATGGACAAGCGGTACATGGATGCTGCAGACCCCTCTATGGTGCCACACACCACACATGGAGGCATTCCTCATGCTGATACCTTGCAGCACAGTGGGGTTTTTTCACCCCGGGAGATTCCAGGGTCAAAAAAAATCAGAGCCACACTCAAGCTGCCGGCCAGACTTCCCGCCACAGCTGCAACCCTGGGAGGGCCCTAGGACCTCTGATAAGGTTGCTGGAGTCAGCACAGTTGCTGGCCCTAGCCTCCCCTACCCCACCTGGAGTAACCTGCCACATGCCACTGCTACTTGTCCCCAGCAAAACAAACCTCCATACTCATCTAGATGTACCCAATAGGTCCCAAATTTAAGGAAATTACAGGAAATATGACTGAATCAAATAATATTTCTTCTAAAGTAAATACTGTCATGAATTCTTACATAGCAAGGAGGAAAGGATTATGTTAATCTAAGAAACTACAGAACATTGATTTCTTCCTGGCTCAATAACAGAGCAGCTAAACCCTCTCATTTAAGCCCATTAAAGCAGTATTTTAAACTCAAGGATAGAATCAGTTTAATTTCTTCTAACGGACACTAGTCTCACTACTAGTTACAAACGCAAAGCAAAATGTTGAGAATCTGAAGCAATTGATATTACTAAGAACCCTATCTGAAAAGGACAGCATATTAATTCAATCCACAGCACATCAAATTGGGAAAAGCTACAAAAACTAGTAAGTATGGAAAGCATACGCAGTATTAAAGGGATGTCAGTAAAGAATAGGACAGTGCCCTGCAAAGTGCCCATCTCACATATGCAGGCTCTAAAACTGAATCTCCATGATTCATTGCTCTGCTCATACAAACATACCTTTCAAGGGGTTTGCCAATAATGCTTTACCAGTACAAACCCCTTCTCTCCAAACATAAATTGCAGTGTATACTTGTTCTTTTGATGATAGAGCTTATACCAGTTCCATGACTTGAATAAGTTGTACTAGCTAAAGAATCATCATAGGTGTGCTAGGTTAGAGGTATGATGCTTCCACATTCCTAGAAAAAACCTCTACAATGGTCAAGTTTTAGTATAGATTTTGGTGGGAAGAACAGGGAGAATTTTGACTGCTTCTATATAAAAGAAAGTGTTCTATTTTCACATCGGTCCTATTCAAATAAGCATATTTATCCAAGCCAAATAACAGCTAGTCAAAGGACTAAAATTTAATTAGACACCAAACATTCAGGAAAAATTTCAGTGTAGTCTTAATATTGTTCAATAATAACGGCCCTCGAAAGACTGAAATCAGCATTAAATTCCAGGAGGTTAAAGCAATAGGAAATCTGCCATTCACTACTGGGGTTCTGTAAATAACAATTATGGTAATGTTACCAGCAAAAGTCTGACACAACAGCATACACAGCATCAGATGTTTAAAATTTTACAAAACTATGGGAGGCATCATTTCATACCTGCTGACATTTTCATAATCAAGGCGAAGCCTTGTCGACTCAAAAGTGAGCTGAACTCAAACTCCATGGTAGTCCCTAGTCTCTGATACTGATAAGTAAACTAAATGAGTGCATATTAGATTCAGATACATGAAAATAAAACCACTATAGTACCCAGTATTTTGATATTAAATTTTATTCTTTCATGCATTTGTCATGAATGATCCCCTGTGTTTTAAAAGATATCACAGGGAAGGGAAAAAAAAAAACTCATCCTGGAAGCAGAGAGTTGGGAATGTTGATATCCAAGAATATGGGGAAGGTATTCAATAAGTAGAATTCTCTTCTAAAATGCTAGTTTAATTTAATAAAGTCAGCTATAAATATAGTATATAGGCTGGAGGGAAATTTGGAGAAATTTGGAAAATTCAGCCAACATGCTACCCTCCTCCCCCACTCAAGTCTCCCCAGCAGGTGTAGGTATGTGTTGTCTATGGTTAGGTACAGACATTACATTTCTTGCACAATAAGTGTGCAGAGAGTGCTCTATAGCCATAACCGAACAGACATTCATGGCACATAGGAGCACTTTAAAAATAATGGATCCTGCTCTAAAATACCCCTAGAGAAATGTGGTATCAGACTCAAGCACATAAGGTTAGAGCGCTTTATCGAACATCTGTACCAGATCCCATCACAGCTGAAGTTAGGTCTCAGTTCCCCAGCATCCCAGGGGCCCCTCAAAGAGCAGCATGATCACTTCGGCTGGTGCTCATCTGCTCTAGGCCAGCACAGACCCAGCCGTGCCACGACGCTGTCACAGAGAGGAAACAGAAAAGGCTGTTGTCTCCTCTGCGTACAGCTGGGCAGGAGCATGGGGGAATTGGAATTCTGAAGTGCTTCTGCCAGGGCAGGTGACACAGGGAACGTATATCTGGCTGAAATACTCCTTTTTTTATATGTTTCAAAGTACAGCTCGCCAAGACCTGAGCCAGCAAGCTGGGGGAAACTCGCATGGCAGGGGGGCTCCATTTCAGAATCACTGTGGCCACTGCATGCAGTTTTGCATCATGTACTCCCCAGCTATACAGTAAAACAGAGAACTTCAATGACCTGCAGCTTAGTTTCTCCCATTTCCCACAGGAATAGTCAGTGCAGCTCTTCAACCCCCATCTTGCAGAGGTGAAAAGTGATCTAATTCAGTGTCTGCTTTGCCTCTACTTTTCTGCAACAACATCCAACCTTCCAAGAACCAGACCTTGTGGCCTCTCCCCACCACAGCTGAGAAATCCTACACCCCTGCCATGGGAATCCTGGCTAAAGGCAGAGTCTCCCAGCAATCTGGGAGGCCTGAAGCCTACCCCGAGTGTTGGGGGCCTACCAAAGGAGTGAGGTGAAAGCAGGGAGGGGAAGAGGGGAGGACAGTGCATTGTGTGTTGCCTGGAAGGCTTGAGCTACTGTACACGTTCCAAAATGGAACAGGCCAAAATAGTATTTATGCCCTCCAGATATATTTTGTCATGCTTTAGAGTGTTGTCTCATGTACGTTTTTACACAAGCCTTTTGAAATGTTCCAATTTTCATTTCTGTCTTCTACTTTACAGTACTTACATTTAGAAAGTTTTTCCTGAGTTTTGCTAAACAGTTTCAAATATCCTTTGATGTTCTTCAGAGCAATGTTCCATTTTTAATTTTCTTGAGTAGTCTCTAAACCTGTCACTCATATCTTGTTGTCCTTTTCAGTTTAGTATAAGTAAATCTCTCAGGTCATTTATAGATGAGGCAGGGGGGGCAATTTAATTAGCGAGTCATGCTAATTAAAAGTGCCCAAGTGTCATGTGCATCTGTCCCTGTGCTGAAAAATGGGGGTAGAGTGCTTTGAACTACAGCTTACCTAACAAGTTTTAGTTTAAAGCACCCTGCCGCCATTTTCAGCATGGGGACACTGATACACATGACACTGGAGGCTGCTGGAGAGCATTAGTTTCTGCACTCGAGCAGACTCAATTAATCCCGCATGTCAGAGCAAACTCCATTTACAGCACATCAGAGCAGCCTCACTACATGTTTATAGGAGCCCTCAGTTCCCTTTTTCTAAATGTGTTTCATTCAACACATTCTGAAAATGAAAATTAATACTGGATATTTTATTAAGGTGAAACTTCAGTATTTTCTGTTAAAAAAGAAAATCTAGAGTTTAAAAAAAACCATGCCAATAACATTAAATTGTTGACATTATTACAGTTTTAGCATCTGAAAAAGTGAAATCTGTGATGAGATGTGCATATTCTCCAGTAGAAGCAACAGATATTTACAGAAAAGACAAGCTATTAAATACCATTAACAAAAATTTAACGAAAAAAAATCTGCCTAAACTTACCAACTCTAATCCAAAGAGGCTGCTATCTTCCCAAACATCTTCTGATATTGCATCACTGACAAGGAATATGTCTTCAGCAAGCAATTCAAGAACTTGCATTGTCACTTTTCTACTGCCTAGAAATGCAAATGAGAAAAGAGAAGTTACAGGAATTCCAACAGAGACCGGATATGAAAGCATTTAATGTTCAGAAAGTTACCCTTTTAAGCATGGAGTACTGGAACTCTGAACATCCCAGAACTTAATTTCCTTGTGCCTCATGCTAGTCAGCTAGCACCAATTGTCATCATTAACACTCAGCAATAGCTTTGACTAATGTCTGTTTTTTCTTTATTTCCTACTGACAACATTGAGAGCTCATGTGCTAGAGGACTTGCTCTACACCAGAAAATATTAGCTAACGATAAGACAGTTTTATTTTTACTTTAATTATTCACCTGCAAGCTAATGAAACTCACTATTTAAGTCAAATTCTAGTTGAGAAAGTCATACTGTACTTGGGAAGCCTCTTTTAACCCTACTAGATTCCCAATGGCTAGCTTGCCACTCATAAGTTGAATCTAGCTATAATAGTACTCTCCTTACAAAAGGCTGTTGGGATTTTTTTTTCTTCATTATATTTCCATTTGCTGTATGAATTTTCAGAAAATTAACTGCATTTTTATAAAGTATGCAAGTAAAAACTGCAATTGCTGGAGTTCTGCTATGTTTAACGAGAAAGAAACTGATGAAAGAAATACAAGAGCCTGTATATTATCCAGTCTATCTGTATAAAGTAAGAACAGTTCAACAGTAACCACACTACAAGCAAGAATTCTGAGATTACTTTTACTTGTTAGATACTCCAGTTCTGGGTCTCCTTGGTCTCACATACCTGCCATCAGATTCTGGCCCCTGTATACCTACATTAGTGTTTCATATACAGTAATAATCTCCAAAACACCCTCAAAAATATAGGTTTTAAGTTAGAAAGGATCCTTGTCAAAACTTGTCCCCTTTCTTTACAATCAAACTCTAATCCAGCTCGCTTTCCATTAGGTATCAGTTTAGGGAGACAACTGCTAGAGAGCACCTATACCAAACCAGGCAGGTGCAAAGTAAATAGCTTATACATAAAACACAACACCACACCTACCATCAGTGAGATTTCTACTGTATCTTTGCACTCTCTCTTAGTGTTCCTAAATGGCATAAGAAAGATTCAGTAATAGCACTGCAGCACAGAAAGTATCCCTTCCCTTACTGTAAATAACTGTTCAGAGGATACTCATGGGTCAAAAGAAGGTAATGCTTGTATAGCATGAAGAAAAAAATTTCCCCAATAAAATCTGACCAAAAAGTGAGCATATTTGCATATAAAGTTTTATAGACTTCCAGATATAAGTTGTATTACTGCTGTAAATCTAATGTTATTTGACATTGCGGTAGTTCAGAGATGCACCTTACCTAAAAATCAACCCATCTGGGAACCTTATGGAGAAATTTTTGTGGAAAATTTGTTACCAGCTTTCATTGTCAGTATAGGAGTAGTTTTGTGATAGTGAAATCTTCACCCTTCAGCCAGAAAGCTACTGCCAATTTGTCAGTGGCCATGAAAGAGTTAAAAACTGTAGCTGCCATGGTGAAGACTGGACTCTACCCTCTCTCCATGCTGATAGTAGGCACAGAAGGGAAACATTAGTCCCCATGCTCCTATTCCAGCACTGGGGGTGGGGGGGACAGCTTCCCTGCTTAAGCTTCTGCAGTTTTGGAGAGATTTTTATGGAGAATAGGTATGCAGTAGTATTTACATAATGGTGGCAGCATGTCCAAATTGGGCCCTTCCTGAGTGTGGCCCTTTCCTGCAGTTCAGCTGCGATATTCTATAACTCAGACAGCAGCGGTGACATATCTTTAGTTGTCTAAAGCAGTAACTCTCAAGAACACAGGAGGCCAAGGTCTGGAAGTGGCTGCTTTCGGAAAGCAGGCCCACCAAAATATTGCTGCATTTGGAGTCAGCTAACAGAAGGGAGAGTCCCAAGCAGGTCCTGCCTACTATCTCAGCTTGGACATGCTGTTGTCATGGTGTAGACATATCCTTAGGAACCACTCTAGAAGTTGCAATGGAAAGATGACAACTTTCAAGGAGATGCAACTTCAAGGTTAGAGGAGAGTGTCTGCAGTGGAGTGGAGAGGGAGCAAGCTCATGTAGCTTTCACCTAAAGCTGAGCCAGAAGCTGCCAATGAAATCCTCCTCAAGAGCAACTTACAAGAACAGGGCAAAAGAGAGAGCCCTTGCTTGCTCTAATTGGCAAGCATATGAAAAAAGTTTCTTAGCAATAAGTAGTAATAATGGCACCATTTTTCTAATAAAGACCAGGAGTTAACTTGCCCCTAACAAGGTGCCTTAGAATAATGATGACTATTCGTATATTCAAATACAATTGTGCCTATTAATTTTGCAAGCAGATTCTGGAGCGTAACATATTTCTAATGTATAAGGAAACAAATGCTACACAAAACCCTGATGATTAGGAAGGCCCAAAAATATTTAAAATGTACACCTGATCAAAATTGGTTTACATTATGAACACCTTTTTAATAAGGGAGGGTGAGGTGAAAGAAAAGTTGAGTAGTATGTTAAGATGTATACAACTGAATTCTTTTATTGCTTTGAAAATGTATACGAGTTTCAATTCAGGATATAGATCTAGATCTATCTATATATCCTTTTATTTTAGAAAAGCTGACCTGAGGCTTCTTTCATTTAAAATATATTGTCTACTGAATGCTACTAAGCTACTGTGTGTTGCCTTCAATACAGAGCAAAATAAGATTTTTAACATAGTACTAGGTTCAATATCAAGCACTCATTACTTATCCGAACTTAAGCTCTTTAGGTATCAGAAAGTTCTTGAAAGCCCAAAATTAATAGAGACAAGCATTTTCAAAAGGAGGTTCTCTCGACCTCGTGCACTAGGCATTTTAAATTGGATACTAAACTAACCCAATTCATTTCGGGAGTCAAATATAGTTATGTTTCCTTCAACTATCAGACTAAAGCATTTATCCACATTCAGTGAGGTTAAGCCCCCTTTTACAAGCATCTTGGCTAGTGATGCAACTGCATTTAGAACGTGTACAAATGTTTCATTACTAAAAGGGCAAGGGAAAATTAAATTACTATATGAAGGCATACTTGTGCAATTATTGAGCAGAGTTTTAAGAGTACAGCATGATATACCCCATTTCCCTTCAACATAAAAAAGGGCTCAAAGATAAGCAACCAATGTGCAGCTCACCCACAGCATTGGTCAAGGAAAGTTATTAACACTTTATTAGGAGTGTTCAGAATTCTCATCACTATTTAAAAATACAAAACGAACTGCTGAGTAGAACTGTGGAACAAGGCAGTTATGTTTGCATACCCACAAGCCACCCACCCAAACCCCTATGACTTCAGGCAAAATAACCGACTCCCATTCTTATACACTCATGCGTCAGTTATGACTTGAGTCAATATTTCTCTAGCAAAAAATAGCCCCTCACTGTTTTCCTTCAGGTTTTGTAATAAGCTAGTTTAGCAAGCAAAGCTTTAATGATTTATTCTGGAGAATTTTCAAATGCATTTAACAAAGAATAAATCAATTACTCTTCAGCTTGCTTTTCTTCCTTTTTCTTGCTAATTATTGAAGCTATGCAATTACATCTATACAGAAGAAATGTAAAGTAAAGGTGACCGTAACACAATTAGGCATATCTGTGATAGCTTGCAACAGTAACAATGATGAAATCTAGTAACCCAAGTCTGTAACCAGTCACCAGCTGGCTTGTACAGTCTGTACTTCTTCAGTCTCTAAGCAATTGTATCTTTACTACTGCTGTTATCCATGCTCACTAGTTTAAAAATAGTGTACTTGTCTTACACTTATGTTTCCATCTTGGTTTGTAGACATGGCCTGCATCTGACAAAGGCCTTTTCATTGCCTAACTCATTATTTTTCATTGTAGTATACCGGTTAGTCCCCATGTTCACTTTATTTTTTCATGTTCAACAGCAGTCTATACTATTTCAGTTGCCAGATGATAACTTCACATCAAGATCAAACTTTTTAGCAAAAGTGATCTGAAATTAGAGGATGAATAAAACGAGACAAACTGGCTTGGTTTACAACATAGTTTTTTATTATATCTAAATAAACAGTTAAGCATTCTTTAGGCTCAACAAAAACTGCAAATTTCTGCTGAATCACACGTGCAGATTTTTCTGTACTAAATTACATCACAGAAGATATGCTTTGCTCTATGGGTCTTTATTCAGATTAAAGTCGGAAGATGATGTATAATTTCTCCTCATGGCATCTAAATTTTCCCCTTCTTTAGTCAAGAAAAAGGCCTTCCAAACCCTGAAATCACCTTTCCTTTGGAGATTCAATGATTCTTTTCCCAAATCTGTCAATTGTAAACTTAGTATTAACTGCCAGAAAAACAGGTCTACACTTAAAGCAAAAATCAAATGAAACTCCATTGTCTGGATAATTTAACACTCTATGTTTTGTTATAAAAGTTGATTTTTTCCTCAATTACCTGGTACTTCACCAGTTTTTAAAAATAATGTGCAAATACAGCATCTAAAATATTACTAGGACCTATGACTGTTCAGCCAGAATTCTGTTCCAAGGGTAGTTCAACCACTACTGCTAAATGGGTTACCCCAGAAGCTAGGGACTCTGTGCACAACAACCCTTATTTCATGGGGTCCACACTGCACACACAGCTCACAAAAGACTTGGTTATTAACTATTTCTGATTCACGATCATCTTGCAGGAGCCAGGTAAATGTATAACCACTTAGACCAGGGGGTTTCAACCTTTTTTAACAAGTGTACCCCTTCTGTCTCAAACTTTCAGTTCATGTACCCCTTTATATTTTTTTCTTGTTTTTAATGTCACCAATTATGAGATAAGGCAGGCTACGCTAATTAACATTAAATACATTACTATATCTATATCATCTCATAGTCTGCCTGGTAAGTCTGCTGTGAGGGAAGGGGTGGGGGTGGGGCAGGGAGACTGAAGCCCTGCGGTGAGGGTGGGAAATGGGGCTGCGGCAGGGGCAGGGGCAGGAACTGCCCAG